CTTATGAGCTAAAGCAAAACTGTTTAAAGGTTAGCTAGGTTTTTATACAAAGTGTGATCAAAATGTATGATGAGTGTTTAAATAAAAAACCGTATTACTACAAAAGACACATTGCCACGAATCCCCCTCAAAGCACTTTGCCTCACTTTGAACGTACTTGTCCCATTACTCTTGTTACTTTCTGCAGAAGCTCTGGAAATCCTCTTTCATGAGTGTCTCTATGAAGTATGATAAAAAATACAGTGTATGCTGCTCCTGAGTGCCGGCCAACCCCAGAGAGGTTCATACAGTCAATAGAGTGTGCTCTGGTCCACTTTGTTCACTGAATCTGGTACTGTGTGTAACTTGTGGCTCTTCTCCAAAGTCAAAATGATCGTGAATGGTAAATGTTTGGAATTGTTTCGTGACTTTGAGGCAGCCACAACAGCATAACTAAAGACATTCATGAAAGACTATTTCCAGAACTGCTGCAGAAAGTGATGGGAATGAGTGTGTTCAAAGTTTTTTACCGAATTAAACTTTTAAAATTCATTGTATTTTTCCACCACACTTCATCAGGGTGTAGAATTTGGGATGAAGAAATGCATGAGCTGGAGTGGACTCTGGGGTAGTAGGATAAAGTAAAGAAGGAAGAAGAACTTTCCAGGAGGGCAATTCCAGATGGCAGCCCTTGGTTCCTCCGAGGTTTTATCTGAGGATGTTGCAGTCGGGCTGTGGCTCTGTGAGCCTGCTGTTTCGGGTTTGCATCCAAGCTCTGCCCCTTTCCAGAAGCACAGCCCTGGGCTAATGACACCTTCCTTGCTTGCTTCCTACTTTGTGAGAATCACAGTGATGAAGCAGTGGTCTTGAAAGGGATACATTTTCCATTGAAATACTCCAAAGACAGGAAAGAGCTCACCTCACTCCGAGGGCTTAAGGACTTACCCATCGCAAGTGGTGAATTTCATAGTCATCTTGTATCTTACCTGAAACATATACTCTGCACCATACTTACAGCGGTGAAGAAATTTGATGTATGATGGCCCAGAAATGTCATCTCTACATCTGCCAGAGAAGCCCACTTATCCTCATGCTCCAAAGGACACTCAGGAAAGCCAGAGACATAAACGAAGCATGCTGTATAAACTTATTAACATCCATTAACATGTTGGTGTGGATTTGTCTGTTTTGTGAAAACTGGTGAAAAGATGGAACTGTAAATGGAAAACTGGATGGATGGAGAGTAAAAGTAGATGTTGGGGCAACCCACAGCATAGAAGTAAAACCATAAGTACTGCTTCTGTATGGTCAGTGACCAGAGCAAGCCTTGTGGCCTAGCGATGTTTTGTTCAGATTTTTTTTCAGTGCTGTGAATGAAACCCATGCTAGGCAGCTGCTGCACCACTGAGCTACACCCCAGCCCCAGATATTATACTTTCTGGTTTCTCAAAGCAGTGCCCTTTATAGCTCATCCTGTCAGGGGTGGCTTGTGGTAGGTTTTTTACCTGAATCTTTGAAAAAGGAAGATGACGAATGGCGAGGAAATGGGGATTGTTGACATCTCCAGGAGCAGCAGGCTGTCTTTATTCCTATTATGAAGTTAACTGGATGAGATTCTCTGCATCTGATAAAGTACTGCCTTTCCTTCTCCTGGTAATAGTGTAGTGACCACACTGGTCCCTATTATAAAATTGTATATCTTTATCCATTGCTTTGGGACATTATCATTTTTATTTCTGTGGACTCATGGTGTGTCCTCTAAAGAAAGCTCCACACGGCTTAGTCATGGTTTAGGGGTCTCAGCTTAGGGGTGAGAAGACAGCTCTGGGGGTCTGAGTGGGGAAAAGAGCAGTGGCTGCTTTGGAGAGGTGAAGGGGTAAGAGAGAGAAGAAGGTTCAAGAGAGCGACAAAGGAGAGACAAGGGCTGGGGTGAGCAGGAGAGAGCCCAACGCAAGGTAGGACAGGAATGAAGCCCTATGTGCTTGTCATCAAATACTCCTCAGATTAATGGGAACATTCTAGAAGTTAATGCTGTGTTGGTAAGGAGCAGATTTGACACTAGAAATGCCCAAGTTCAGATGAATGGCATTGCCCACCAGGGGTACTGAAGGCAAACGTCCATAAAGCTGAATTTGGTGACTAGATAGTCTCTGGGTACAGATATTCTCACTTAACCACTTCCTGTTTAACGTCTGTTCCCATTTATGACCCAGTTGTGCTGTTTAGATTTATAAATCACCATTTGGACTTCGGACCCATCTTGTTTGTTTGTTTGTTTGTTTTTGTACAGTTTTGTGCATCTTGTTTATAGAGCCTCGGGGTCTCTTTGGTACAGTACACCTGGTTTACATAGTACCATGATATTTGATCATACTGTACAGTATAATGCTGTAGTTTTATGTTCCATTATGCATCACAATACTGCATTTAAGTGTTATGCAAATAAAAGCAAAGTCATCAAGCTGGAGTTCCTTTGAGCATTCCTTTGTTCAGAATATTGTAATGTACGTACTACATACCATCCTTCAATTAGTTCCCAATTCATTTGAAGACCTGGTTGCAGGACTGGAACTCAGTCATTAGATAAGAAATGTCTGTATTCTCTGTGTGAACAGTTTTGTGGTTCTCCAGTTGTCCTCTGTTCCATGTGACATCTAGGATTGTTCTCTGCTTAATAATTTGAAGTGGTCGAGGTAAATATAAACAGCGTAGGGATATGGTCTGGTAATATTCAGTTGAAATTTGGATAAATTGCTTACGGTGGGGTAGAAACAGTCCAAAACAAGCTGTCTTCCTCATTCCTATAGGAGACAATTCAGAGCTCCTAGAAAATATCCAAATAAGATAGTAAACATGCAAAGGGAATCCTCAGCACCTTTGACAGGGTACCCTAGGGACCTGATAAAACGTCCTTCCTGATTGATCTGGACTGCAGGAGTGCCTGCAGAATCTCTCTTTTCCTTTGCAAACACACATGCTGCTGTTTGTATCCTGTGTCCCAAATTCTTTATGTATGGATAGATTATCCTTATTGTTACATCTCTGTGCACGTGTATTAACATTTTTATAAGTCCTGAAAAGTGGGTTTTACGATTCAAGGATAGGTACATTTAAAATGATTACAAAACTGTTATAAAAACTGCCAAATTTCCATCCAAACAAGCTCTGCCAGATTGCCTTTCGAGCAGCAGTGATCTCTCTAATCCCTACCACTTACCAGTTTCCAAACTTATGCAAAAATCCTGCTTGGCTTTGTAGTGGTCTTCAACAAAAATTGAAAAATAATATGAATAATTTTAATTTTTGGTCTTTTTTTGCACATGTACATTTTACTTTTAGGTACATGGATGCAAGCTCATAAGAGCTTGTTAAATGGTATAAAAGCCTAGATTAAAATACATAGTACTTCTAATTTTCAGGTTTAATATTTTTTCCTTAGTCAAAGATCATGTATCTCTATGTCTTATTTGAAGTAAAACATGTTTGGCAAAGAAATGATATTGCAGACATTTTAAAGACTAGCATAATTTGCTATATTTCTTCATGAAGGGAACAAATCTTCTCAATTTCTTTGTAAGCACAGTTAAAAGTAGAGTTTGACTGATGCTAGACATTGTCAGTAAAAATTTTGTTTTCGCTTAATGTGTTGAGTTCACCATTGGAATTTGAGTTTAGTCATATTTATTGGTTCTCTTTGAAGCCTTACTTTCCTTGATGCAGTTCAATAAAAGCAGAAACATGATCCAGTTGATTTCTGGAATGATCTATTAAGGACTTGAGAATGAATAGGTCTCTTGGTAACCTGGGATTAGTCTTGTTTATTAGGCTCTTATAGTATCATTTGAATCAAACCTTTCACTTTAGATAAGTTGGAAATTAAATGAGATCAAGGAAATTAGTGCTATGACTTTATGTTGGTATAATATATTGTTCCATAAACACATTTTTTAAATGAAACTAGAGTCTAAATTTCTCATCTTTGACAAATTGCAATGGAAAAACTAACTTAACTGTTTTTAATAAAATGTAATAATGTAAAATTAAATTAGTAGATGTTAATGTAAAATTGTAAAGGTTCCTACACAAAGTACTTACAATAGCACAAAATTATGTAGTATTGTACAGCTTTACCACAACATTAAGAATAAAGACAAACAAATCACCGTTGTTGAAGTTTAAGCATCTAATATGAACTTCAAAGGATCATTCATGGAGTGCCTGCTGGGTACCCAGCATCACATATTTCAACTGCTGACTTCAGGATTCTTTTTGAGATAATGCTGAATTACATCATCCTGAATTAGTCTCATCACTTAATCATTTTCTAAAAGACACCACCTCCTAAGTCCATCACATAAGGGGTTAAGATTTTAACATCAGATTGTGAGTTGAATGGACGAAGGTTCAGACCATAGCAGAGAGAAAACAGACAAAATTCTTCGTCCCAGCAGCCACCACTCCTACCAGTTATCATGGCCTTGTCTTTTGCCAACTTCAGCTGTGGGCCCCTGGAGATAAGGGTGTCTCCAATTGTAACACTTGGGCCTGATAAGTGGTTGAGAACATGAGTGGCCTTAATCACCTGGGCCTTGTCTTGATTTTCTAAGTGGAAATCAAGAGTATGAAGGTTGTTCTTCCATTCCATGTTTTGAAATAAACCGTGTTAGTTACATAACCCTGATGCTGGCCTCTGGATTTCATTTTTAATTTGAAACAACAAATCTCATAGCCATCTTTTTCCACACTGCTTTGGATCAAAAAAAGGGAGAGCAAAGTGGTTCAGAAGTCTGAATATCACACTTGAATTATTTAACAAGGTCTAACCATCTAGTGGGGTTTGAAGTCTGTGCTGAGGGGAACACGCACAAAGGTCCTGGACAATTTTACCTGCAGCACTTCTCTGGAAGTGGCAGAAGTAACGGCGCCCCTAAGGTGCTCCGTGGGGTCTGCAGAAGCTGTCAGGTCTCCGGCTTCCTGAGTGAGCGCCCAGCTCACATTCAGTCCTCTTCTTTCTCTTCCAGTCCCAGCAGAAGTGCATCGTGATCTTTGCCCTCGTGTGCTGCTTTGCCATTCTCGTCGCGTTGATCTTTTCAGCTGTGGACATCATGGGAGAGGATGAGGATGGACTCTCGGAAAAAAATTGTCAAAATAAATGTCGGTAAGAGGTAACAAACAAAAATTATCATTTAGGGGGTGGGCAAGGAAGGCAAGGAGAGCCCTGGATGTTGAAGAGAAACACGTAATGACATTGTAAAGACAAGTGATCATCCAGCTTTTCCCTCCGCTTAAGCAGAGGTCCTCCTCTGCCCATAGGGCCACTGCTTCTAGACCAATGCAGTAAACATGGGTAGCAATTTACAGCTGGTCCATAGGCTTTACAGAGGGGTGAAGATTTTTAACAGTCTGTGTTTCTGGAGACTTCTGGGTATAAAGTTTTGGATTGTTCCCCAAGGAGCCAAGCAAAAGCAAGTGCCCAGTGACAAAGAACACCGTGCTAGTCGTTCTGTCACATAGACATTAGCAGACACCTCAGGAAAACTTCCAGTTTCAAGTTAAAGAATAAATAAGTCCATGAGGCGACAAAGAGACTTCCCTCAGTCTGTCCCAACTTAGCACATGTTTCTTTTTAATCTAGAAGTCACTGCAACTTTACCATTAGTGTCTAGATACAGGCTGCATAATGACATTTTGGACCCCGTTTGTGACGGTGGTCCAATAAGATTGCATTCCCTAGTGACATCATAGACATACATGTCCTGTGATGCTCACGCAGTAACTGAATCTGCTAAGAACTCATTTATCAGAACACGTCCCCATCCATAAATGACCTGCAACTATACTTCATTTTAGTTACATCGGATTTCCCTGGGTCATTTATGATTGGCAGAGACTTCACACATGGCTTCAAACCCATGAATCTCTTCATGCACTGCTTCCCTAATCTGCTAAATTTTTTTGAGATTGGGGAAGGCGTAGAAATGTATGAAGAGGATCTGGGTAGATGAAGGGGTCTATTTTGACATATATATTGCTGTAAAGCTGAAATGAGACCACAAAATTATGACAGGAATTATCAGTCAGAGCTTATGATGAATTTAAATTGTAGTTTTTTCCCTGTGGAAAGCATTAGTCTAAGTGCCCATCTTTTCTACCTTAAAATTGTCTGCAACTGCGACCTGGCCATGTGTGTATAAGTTTCCACTCTGAATGTGTTGCCTTGAGGTTGAATGCCCTGACACTGGAAGTGCCCTGAAACACAGCTGACTTTTTCCTTCTCCCATGATTCACCATAATCTCGTTACCAGAAGCAAGTGCTATATAAAGAGCACAGTGTATAAGAAATAAATCAGCATACATTTTTGGATTTTATTCCTTTGTGTTAGAAAGATGTTTCATAAGCACAATGACTTCTCAAACTGAATCTTGGAGAAAAATTGTGCTAGGATTATTGTAAGGAAAACAATAGAACAACAGTATTGCCGTCATCTTCTGCTAACGCTGTTTGTTACAACATCAGATGTGAACTCTCTGGATAGAAAGCCAGTGACTCATATTTATTAAGTGGAAACTCTCTGCCTGTCTCTTCAGCCCCACCTTATAATGAAGACTGCTGGGTACTTCAGATACAAATCCCAGCACCTAGAGTGCAGTTTTACAGAGGCCAAACCAATACAACTTCCTAAGATAAAATATCTATGACTTTTCAATCTGCATTACCAGGTATTGCTAGGCTTCAACAAAAAAGAGAGCCTTCTTTGAGTGCTATTTCTTTTCACACAGGAAAAGTTATTGTTTACTCAGATTTTTACTTTTTACTCCAGCAAGTGGAATTTGAGTCTGGTTATTTCTTGTATGTTAGTTAAGAACTAAATTCTGAAGACTCAGCACTGCTTGTTCCTCCATCTAGAAGATAATTCTGATCCTCAGCATTTTGCTGCTTCCTTCCCCTGTATAGCTGGAATTACTACCTGGTTGCTAGGTGCCATTCCTGCTTTAATTTTCTGTATCCGTTTGTGATAACATTACTGTCACGCCTCACGGCCTCCCACAGCACCGAGTCTGCTGTGAGCCTTGGATCTCTTGTCCCACCCTCATGCTCAAAGCACCGCTGGCCATGGCTTTGCACCTTTACAGCCTGCAGAGAGTAGGATCCACTGTTCTTCATCTAGGTTCTGCAGGCAGGAGTGTCCTTGGTGAAAGAGATGAGGCTTTTCAGAGTTGTGCACTCTCAGTATAGTGCACTGATGTAGACCAGTAGAAGAAAGCAGTGCTGGTCTCCAGATGCTCTCCAGCTTGCTTGTCTCAACTTTACCCTTCTGTACAAAATTCTAGACTTCCCCTCATGTCTTTATCCCTTCTTCCCAGAATCTTTCCCAAATTGTACCTCAAGATGGCACCCACTAAACTACCTGGCATTCAGCTCCTAATGACTCAGTTTCACTTTGGTTTCTTCATTGAGTTTTTCTTCCCCAGGTATCATTATCATAAAAAGTGCTGCATGCTTTGCTCAATTTTTACTGAGATTTTATTACTTGTTAGTTTAACTCCCTCTGTGTTTGCAACTCTCCTCACTCCTAGAAGTTGAAAGAATCCCAAATATTCTAGACTTTGTCAGAGTCTTCTCACTGTTTTGACAGTCTCCTCCCAAACTCTCTCTGGCCTGTGCACTCTTTTCTAAATGTATTACTTTAATTCATCTTATTTTATCTCTACTAACTAACCTTTCTATCATCTGATAGATTTGTACTGTGAATCATACCACCCACTCAATGTTTCCCCCTTATATGTCTTGCTAAATAATGTTATCTCCCTATAAAAAATTCTAAAGTTTTTTTTGATGACTTCTTTCCCTCTTTGTATTATTTTCCTGCTATATTGCTATACTGAATTAGATAATGATACACTCATTTATCATAATTTTCCACCCAAATCTGGAAAATGCCAGCCAATCCAAAGTTACCATCCAAATGCTACTTTTTTTTCCCCTGATATGGGCCTTACTTGGTCCAGTTGGCTCCAAATTCTTAAAACGATTCAGCCCTTTTTTGTACCTCAGCCTCCCAAGCAGCTGGAATTACCAGCACATGTCACTGTGCCAGGCTTCCAAGAATCTTTTAACAAACCCCAGCTGCTAGGCCCAGAAGCAAGATTGTTGAGCTCACTAATAGCTCACTTTGACCTATTCCTTTGAGTCTGCCAGATTTCTGCACACATCTGCCATTCTCAATGTGTTGATTCGGCCCCTATTACTTTCAGACCTGCTTGTCACTTGAATACCTGAGAAAGTGAAAGGCAAATGTTCTAACTCCTCCTAGGAAAATACCCACTGTGGGCTTAGGGTATCACTAGGTAGTAAGGAGAGCTTGGATGGCTAATGGAGTGCATACATCCTGTGACTTGGCCAGTCCATGGTTCATTAATGCCCTGACACTCACTGTTCTCTATTTTTGGGAGAGATGACTTCCTGCTCTGAGTTTGTCCACCTGTCCTATCCCCAGGGACCAGCAGAAACACTGGAACCACCCTGCAGCTCCTGCGCTGGCCCCATTCAGATCCCCTGCCATCATGTAGGACCCTGGTCTTACAGTGAGAGCCTCGGTTTTACACGCGTAGCTGAGTGTGTGCTTCACACCCTGGGCCGCCCTACATTGCTCACGTCGGGTTCCTACTCCTCCACTTACTGGGGTCACTCATAGACATTAGCTGGAAGAGGACTTTCCTCCCACACCTTTCTGATCAGTGTGCAAGAACCAGCCTGCGTCCTGCTGCCACTCTACCTTGGGCTCAATTCCCTTGACAATATTTCCCCAAGCTCCTAGTAAACAAGTGGAGTAGAAATGAAATTATTAGTGGTTTAACATTACTTTGTCACAGTGGCAGGCCTGGATCACCTGTGTACCCAGGCAACCCCTGTTCCAGGACTTCCTCTTCTCAGATCAGCCAATCCTGGGTGACTACTGGTCCAGCTTAAGTCACTCATGCCGTAAATCTGCATATTTGTATTTGGGCCCTTACTTGGATGCACAAAGGGCCTGGATCAACCCAGGCTATATATAAAACCTTTGTGAGACTAAATATGTTAATGATGCAGGTACCTGTCATAAAATGTCATCTAATAAATATTCCATAAATGAGGCCTTGTAAGTTCATTACCAGTGTTTGTATTTTCCTTTCTGAATTTCACCTTACTCAGCTATAAAATATAGAAGAATTTGAAATCATTTTCCATCTTTTTTCTCAACTGTAAATTTCACTTTCTCTATGTTAACTTTGATCTACCATGCTTTAGACTGCCAACTCCAACCATGTTGTAAATCAGAGTGTTATTCCAAACTGAGAGGATTCTGTCTGGTTTGGGGCTCCTGCCTTAATATTTGAGTACTTTTCCTTCGAAGGAGGAAAAGCAGCTTAAATTTGCACTCATCCCCACCTGTAGGAAAACATCCACGACATCAGAAGCCTAGCATACCTGAGTAGATTTCTAATGCACTAACTGGATAGGAATGTGAGAGCTGAACTATAGAGGCACACACTGGCTCGAGTGACTTCTGTATTAGGATCTTTCCCAGTTTCTCCATTGAGCCCACAATGAACCTGTTTCTATGATCATTTTGACTAACTTTTTGTTTGATCAGTCCCAGTGTCTGTTTCTTCCATAATTGCTTAAGATATGAGAGAGAAGCAAGCATTCATGTTTAATCTGCCCTGTTCTACATAAGTGACTGATTTGATCCATTTCCTTTTGGCCTCCTCTTGTCTCTCCCCAATTCCAAATTCTGTACTTTTCTACAGCCCTTAGCTTACTTCTCCTGGGTTTTTGTTTAGAGGTGACTTTAGTTAAGAACTTGGTGTCCACTTCATAGAACTCACCTCCTTCTGCTCTCTTTCCAGTTCAGAATCCCTGAATGTCATCGCTAATCCTTCCCCCTTCTCATGTGTGTCTCAGAGGAAGAGCTGTCTTTTGCCAACTCTTGTGTGTGTGTGTGTACGTGTGCATGTGCATGTGCGTGTGCGTGTGCGTGTGCGTGTGCGTGTGTGTGTGTGTGTGTGTGTGTGTGTGTGTATTTTTAGGAACTGAGACCAGAGCCTTCCCATTCGGCCCAAACTTCAAATCCTCCTGTCTCAGCTTCCAAGAGCACTAACATCACAGGCATGTGC